TATTGACCGATTCGTATACCGTAGAGCGTTGAGCACGTTTTCGCAAAACAGCAATATATGACGAGCACATGCGGTGTCGTGGGATTGATTCTGTCAAGGCAACAGTTCAGAGTATGAACCCTTGCAGTCACGAAAACTTCAAATCTAGAATTAATGCCCTCTACGGGGAGGAATTTCACTTATATTTCATTTATTTTCTTGTTTTACCTACGTGACTTTACCGAAACAACCAAAGAGCATGAACCCTTGCAGTCACGAAAACTTCAAATCTAGAACTAAATAGTATTCAAAGCCACGTGTTGCGAGGCGTCACTTAAACGCGTGTGTGCATACCTCACACGTTCTTGGCTCGCGTGGCGTGACGCTCAAATTATAACATACGGCCGGCCATAGGCTCGTCTTCATGTTGCATGGATATAAATAGAAAATTCAAGACAAGCCATGCAACAGAAACTAATGGACAACATAGTAGACGACCGATTTCTGCGCTCTTTCAACGTAAGAACGGCGAAACAGCGCGAAGCCCTCTTGGTGTGGCGAGGGGGCCTCGAAATTGGCACTTAACTCCTGAACCATAGTGCTGCCGTCATACGTAAGAAAATAATAGTGATCTTTAAACCCCACACAGAATTACAGGACTGCACTAGGTGATGCACAATAAAGGGGCCGTTCATAAATGACGTCACGCACCTAGGAGGGGGGGGGGGGGTCAGATATTTGTGACGATGTGTGACGAGGCAGGGGGCAACTTTAAATAAATATAGACAACACGTTCTACTTAATTGAATACTTTTTAATAAATACTTCTCCTACAACATCAGAGTGCAGCGCCACATTAAATATGCACTACAATGACAATAGTTTAAAGCGATTTGAAGCATGTTTTATTTATTTTGGGGGGGGGCAGAGCTTTGTGACGTCATATTTGAGGGGGGGTCTGACTTTTTGTGACGCTGTGTGACGACAGGGGGTGGGGGTCAAAAATCGTCCAAATTCGCATGACGTCATTTATGGACGGCCCCAAAGGCATTAATAAGTCTCCCTCGCAGCATACGTACTATAATCACCCAGGAATGTCCTTAACGCTCGTGACGTCACTTCACATCGACCATCCCCCATCATTAATAATCATGAGCAAATGGACACCCCCCCGCCCACCACTCAATATGGAGTACTCCCTCTCCCCCCTCACTAATAATCATGAGCAAGTGACGTCACTCCACATCGAACAGCCCCCTTCATTAATTAATGATGAGCGGGTGACGTCACTCCGCATGGAGAACCTCCTCTCATTAATAATCATGAGCAGGTGACGTCACACCACATCGAGCACCCCCCTAATTGATAATCATGAACAGGTGACGTCCTCCAAATGGACACCCCCCCCCCCCATTAACAATAATTAGCGGGTGACGTCACTCCACATGGGGGGGGGGGCGAAGCGCCTCCTCCCCCCTCCTCGGCGTCAACTCACAGCCCTCACTACAAAGGCAGAACCCTCACGTCACGTGGTCTCCGTAACGCTGTTGAGACATCGAAGTAGAGGCCGACCGATATTCGGTTTCGGCACCGAAAGTTGGCAAATGGACTCTTTCGGCATACTTTCGGTTTCCGCCGAAAGTCAATTTGTAACTTTCGGGCTGGTTTAGTTTTCTCACCTGAAACTGATATTGACTTTCGGTCGTCATTCGTCAACCGAACATCTATTTTTAGAATATAACGCTAGTGCTACGTCTATCACTCTGCCTATCAGCCGGTCAGTCGGCGCTAGGCAATCCTATGCGATAGGCTGCAAACACACACAAGTCAGCAGCAGCAGCAGCAGCCTGGGAGCGAGGTTACAGCCGCAACCACGGTCTGCTAATGTAGATATGACCGGTCTGTCTGGCTGATTGCGGAAAAACTGTTGTTTCTTAACTACAACATTCGTTTGTTTGGATATAATTACTAAGTAAGTAACACCTACAGATTTGATATTTAGCGACTCTTACTGCAGGCTCTGAATGATTAGTTCTAGATTTATTTTTAATTAAAGTAGCATTGCATCATGACATATTTAATAAATCTTGTGTTCGGTAACTTCGGTTATATACCTTTCTGTTTCGGTCTTGGTCGAAAGTGTAGTTTAACTTTCGGTTTCGGCTTTGGTGTAATTTTTTTACTTTCGGTCTGGTTTCGGTTTTGGCCGAAACTAAAAATTAAGTTTCGGTCGGCCTCGATATAGAAGTAAAAAGGACGTCATGATGAACAAGGGATTATAACCTTGAAATTAAATAGGTCTGTGTCACCGCGCCCTTACAAATTGCACACGCATTAATGCAATGAATATCACGTCGCAGTCTGCTTTTCGCTTGCAAGTTTCAGATTGACTGCAATACACCCGTCCTTGGACGGGCAAAAGGCTAGTTGGTACAGATTTGTGGTCAGTCACAAGTCCAGCCACAGAAAATGGTCCAATTTGGCATAGACTCTTTTCCTCATTATTTATTTGATAAATGGAGTCCATAAGCCAGACCACAATTTGGTACAACTTAAGGTAGGATTTTTTTGGTTAAAGGTGTCTCACCAACACCACTTTTCTGGCAGAAGGGTCTCCACTACAGAGAGCTCTAGAGAGCCCCTGTACAGGCTACTTTTGGTCTACTCTTCCATGCTGGCCAGACGTGTTTGGAAAAAGTGGGAATACCTACACATTACCCCACTACACGTGACCTGCTGATCTACTGTACTGGGTGAACAGAGGCGCCCTGAGACATTAGTGGAAGGTAAATTAATAGGTTTTTACCCTTTTATTTGGCACCAAATCTGACACCTTTATACAAGGGATCATGTTTGCAATAACCACAACACAAGCAGTCAAAATGCAAACAAAAAAAGACAACTCTGATAATGCTATGCACTGTCCTTGAAATTGATTGGTCCACACCCAAGACGGCTTTTCTTAGAGCATGTTGGACGAGATGATGCCAAAAGGCGTACAACTCAAAAACAGCGCACTATCAGAGTAGTGAGAGCTCGGGGTAAGCATTTACACCATGAGACCTCCTTTGCCAGCAGCAAGATATTTCAAGGACAGTGGATATCATCAGAGTTGTCTCTTTTTGTTTGTATTTTGACTGCTTGTTATGGTTATTGCAAACATGATCCCTTGTATAAAGGTGTCAGTTTTGGTGCCAGATAAAAGGGTAAAAACCTATCACTATATCTTGCTACTGGCAAAGGAGGTCTCATGGTGTAAATTAGTGAAAGGTGCCTTACAAATAAATGCTAATTATTATAAATAAACTTGCTCCATTGTTTCAATTGCCGCCCCCCCCCCTCCGTGTTTTACAAGTCCAGTGTGCTAACGATTACATCGTGGCACAAATAATAATGCAGTTTTAATAAGAAATTTACATGGCCAACAACACGGAATATGTGATACCATTTATAAGTTCCATTAAATAATAACTACGCTTGTTTACCCAGATAAGCTTCACTCTCGAGGCTCTTTTTCAGGAGGACTACTAAAATAGGTTTGGGTCCAAGTAGCCAGCCACCCGTAATAAAACCGGGTACTCAAGGCCAGAGAGTTGGTGGTAACCGGTGACCACACACAACCGCCATCACGTCACATTGTCTTTTTAAATCCTTTATATTAAGTTCGCTTGCTTGCTTGCTTGCGTGCTTGCTTGCTTGCTTACGACCGTGCAAATCTTTCGGTCGTTTTTTAACCCACTTCCCGTGATACAATCGAGCTGACATTTTGCACACAGACTCGTTGTGCGAGACAATGAATGTTCGTGAAAAAAATTTTCCCAAAATTTTACACTGTTTAGGGAAAACAAATTAAATATTTAATTACCAATTGCTTAATACTGGCAATCATCTGACCCATAGGTGGCAGCCATCTCAAGTCAGAGGACGAGATGACTCTAGCCGCCACGCATATAAAGGATTTATAGTGAAAAACTTTGTTTTTATGGGTTATACTTATACGTGGTGGGATCAAGCAAATTTAAACGAGCCCTTGCTTAATATTGCCAATAACATTACATTTTCCGAGTGACGCATCTTATTGGTGAACAATTTACAAATAACACGAGGCCTTTCTGTAATGCGACATTGGGAGGGGGAAACGCGGATAATCGCGGCTAACAGGACGAGTAGGGGCACCCTGGTCAAGTGATCCAAGACGCGGGCGCAGTAGAGGCACGTGCAACAGAAGGCGGATTCGTGGACTTGTGTGTCTGTAATGTGCGTGGTAGTGTTCGTATATGTGTGCAGCTGTGTGTTCGTGTATGTGTACATGTGTGTTGGAGGCAGTCGCCCTCCCAACAACGTAGAGCAGAGGAGCGACCGCTCACAACAACGAGCGGACCGCCGGGCGTCTAAAACACAGCAAGTTGGCACTGCTGGTGCATTTGCCGAGTCATCTCAGTCAACCCATAAGCACCTGGGCCTGTTCCGTGACCTGCCAGCGGGCGTTCGACACTTCGCGTGGCATCGGAGTGCACCTGGCCTGGCACAGGCACAAATAAGTGGTTAATATTGGTGGCTGTTCGTATTATTGTTGTTGGTGCCCTAAAGGTGGCACGTGTCCAAGACGGCGGGTGGGGGGCGGGGCCCTGGGGAAGTCACGTGTTCATGGAAGCGTTACCCTGGGTGGGAGTCACGTGCCCCAGAAGGCGGGGCCCGCACGGAGTCACGTGCTCCAGAAGGTGGGGTGGGGCTTGGAAAGCGTCACGTGTTCCAGTAGGCGGGAACCGAGGGGGGGGGGGCTTGGAAAGAGTCACGTGCCCATTAGGCGGGAACCGGGGGGGGGGCTTGGAAAGAGTCACGTGGTCCAGAAGGCGGGAACCCCGGGGAGAGGGAGTCACGTGGTCCAGTAGGCGGGAACCGACGCGGGGGGGGGGGGGGCTTGGAAAGCGTCACGTGCTCTAGAAGGCGGGAACCTGGGGGGGGGGGGGGAGTCACGTGCTCCAGAAGGCAAGGCCCGTAAGGAAGTCACGTGTTTCCGCTCCGCATTGGGTACCCCCTCTCTCCCCCCCCACTGGCGCTTTCGCTGCGGCGGCAGGAGTCGGTGAGAGCGAGGCGTTGTCGCACCTGAGGCGAAGTGTCGGGGTACTGAGAGCGGAGCCGAGTCGCGAACGTGCCCCGCGAAACGCGCGTCCAAGCCCCCCGGTCCGGTGCCTCGCCGCGCCGTGAGTTGTGATTGGTTTGTGAGCGGGTGCGTATTGCGTTTGTATTTGGTAGAGCGGATAAGCGGACCTCGCTATTTGCACGTTGCCGATTGGTCGGTTTGTGCGGCGCGTGGTTGCGTCAGCCAATGGGGAGCGCGGATTCGCGCCGCTCCACGCGTGCGGACTGACAAATGTAATCGCGTCCGAGGCTCCATTCCCATGTTTCGCGTCGCGTGGGGTTAAGTACACCTAGCTTGGCACGTTGACGCTTGTCAGGTGTGGCCTTTGTCACTTCGACAGGAGCTCACCTATTGTGTGTGTGCGTTGGCTCAGGTTGTGGGCTCAGGTGTTTGTCACCCGGGGCCGGTGAGAAGACATTCCCCTTACCGAGGGCAGAATAGGACCTTCAAATAGTTGTTGTATCAGGCAATCCGCACATTGACCACCCACTCACGCCTCGCTCACTGCAACAGAGTTCCCCTTTAAGTGGCAAGTGCCAGGTCGACAATCCTCCCCCCCTCCAATGTGCTATCTGTGCGGCTAAAGCTGCTCGTTTCAAGTCATTTGTAGTCGCTGACCGAATGTTTTCACGGCTGGTGTCCACTGGAGTCGTCGCTTGTGTGAACTATTCGAGTTCGATGTAGGCCGTCTATAGACTTGCAGGGTCTGTTAAGTTTGTCGAGACTAGAATCACAGCTTGACTATACTTGGGAGGTGCATGCCACGTGTAAACTGATATGGGCATCTGTGTGTGGTATTGAATGACAACCGAATGAGGACGCAACTTTTGAGTTAAATCACTGGGTCTGTGAGGTGTAGAGACCCTTTAATGCGGAACTTTGCTGTAACTGCAACGACCAAGACGATCTCAGAATACATTCTGGCCCATCTTAATCTTGCAAACCTGTTCTCAAAATATAACAGGGTCTTGCTGGCTATCGTACGGTGTTTACTCGGTGTAATATTGACTTTCATAGTATTCGGCAACGCCTAAAAGGTTATGTAACGGTGAATCTCGTATTCGACACACCCCAGTTGCAGTATACCTTGCAATAACGTTCAGCTGAACTGGAGATGATTTGTATTGGAGAACAGGATTACCGTAATTCATTTACTTTGCAAACTGAATTTGTTACGTTTTTAGCTTCCGCATTTAGCCTCAATATATACAGTATAGGGAAGTCAAAGGTTACACATGCCTAGCGTATCTGCATGCCTTTAAAGTTATTTCCTGATTCATAGTATGCATGTGTCACAGATCCAGATACTATATATGTCATAAATATAAAGTGGAATGTTTCACATGTTGGATATGGCAACTGGATTACCATGTTTCACTTACGACTGGATTTTAGCAAAGATTAAACAAAACGATGTTTCATGGAAAAGTGGAATTTACATAGACTACACACGTGGGCTGAATTTAACACGTGACAGAAATACAGGTGTACTGTATTCAAGTTGAAGTATATTTGTTTTAACCAAGCGAGAACTTAGTACCTGGGTCACCAACATGGCAAAGCAATACATACAATCAAGTACAGCAAGCGAATATAAAATCAAAGCAAAGACATTTCTGGAGAAATCGGAAAAGTTGCATTGGCAAGTCTTTCAGTCCATGTAAACACGTTTTCGTACAATGCTGGCTGTAGGTAAATAAAGATAGCAGATTGAAAATACTGTACAGTTTTTTTTAACATGAGGTACAGTATGGTCGTTTGGCATAGCTTAATGCTTGCCAGGAAGACTGTACTGCTGCTTTAAATAAAGAGCCTAAGACAGCTTCAGTTCCAGTTAGGCCTGTTGAACCACGCAGCCAGATTTTGCCTTGGGATATGCGGAAAACGATCACGTTGTCTATATAGCATTGTCTTAGTAAGTTTTAGAGGGGCTTGGTTTGGCCCGATTTTTTATTTAGTATAGATTTATACTTACATTTTTTATCTGTAATGTATTATGATTGTTATTGGGATCAAACATCGAAATGGAATTTTTTGCACTTTTTGTTCGCAGCATGGACGGGTTGTGCTTTTTCTGTAGGATTTTATTGTTTACGTAGTGTGATGTTTAGATTTGTGTACAATGAGTTTTAGGTGTATCTTGTAATTTTATTGTTTGTTGCGGTTGAACCCAAATCAAGAGCCGAATGGCTCATAGGGTAAATCCTAATAAATGAAACTGAACTGAACTCAAGATTCACTGACTCTTGACTGAAAGCTGGTTATCTCTCGCAAATTGTTATCAGATGGAGTGCTATGTTTTAAATACAGATCTTTAGGCATCCCTGTGTATCATGCAATTAAAACATGCACAGGCTATTGTACTGTACAATTTTTGTATTGCAGTTCTGTAATTTAATTGGGCTCCAAAATGACCAATTGCATTTGTGTACCATGGCTTTAACAGTAACTCTGTTGGTCACAACAATGAAGGAAAATTGGAAAATATTTTGGTGCAATGTGCTCAGAATCCAGACTCTGAATGTTTGATTGGAAGTGTGAATTCACAGGGAACAGTAATCAGAAGTCAAATTGGTTTCTTAGGAAATGCAATTTCCCTAAAAGCGTCATCTGTGCTGTGCAAAATGATGAAGCAATGAGCTTGGAGATCCTTATTTTAAATAATGAGCTATTAGATATTGTGTGCCGTATATTATTCCATATATGACACATTTCACGAGTGATTAGATAAATGAACAGTGATCCAATTATCTTAATAGTATATACTTTACCATAGTAGTTGCCATTTAAGTGTTTAACCAGTATTCCTTTTTTAAATTAGAATGCAACATTTAAAGGGGCAGCTGAACGATGCATTTTAACACAAATATTTAGAAAATTCCTGTAAAAAAAAGAAAAGCTGCTTCATGCAAAGTGGTGCACATCAATAACCTGTTCTCCCAGATTATGGGCTGGATTCTGCTTGTGGGTTCCGCTTCAGCACTTCTGTTCTGCCCTATGCTGCATTTGCTGCCGATTTCCCAGCTGTGCTGCATGAGACGAGGGACATCACCCGGTGGAGATTGCTCGTCGGTTCATGGTGTGAGAGAGTTTCGTGTGCCAAGCTGCCAGCATGCCGGTGCCGCCGCCGCCACCACCACCACCCCCTCCTCCCCCGAGTTTGTCAAAGGTGCGCGAATTCCTGTTTCTGTACTCTCGTTCGTCCGCATTGTCTCGGTAGGCAGTGGCACGTTCTACGTTTTCGTCTATCAACAATTCGTAACGAAGGTTACGTTCGTTGCGTAAACGTAACCTTGGCAGAAACACAACGGGCGAACCTTCTGTTTGAGAATTATTGGGGACGGAGCTACCCAATATCTATTTGTCGTTAGCTTGTTATAGCAAGCTTCCAAAAATTAGCTTAATTTTAACCCTACTTACTTGCAAATACTTGTTATCAGTGCATCCTGTGCAGTTCCTTGTTTCACAGTAAACTCTGGGACATTAGCGAAACAGCTCAATTCATGTGATTGTTAATTATTTGCATTCGTTTTTTTTATAGTATTATGAACATGCCTAATATCTAACAACATCCTTAAATATGGCAAAAGGAATGTGATTTATTTACATTTAACCTTTATAGTTTATAGAGGGTAAAACGTGTTTTATCAGAAGAGCTAATGACTGAACTTGCAATTGTTCATAGGTTACATATTGATAATATATACATAAAAAAAAGTAATGTTTCCGCACCCACAATACAACTTAACCAACACGTCCCATCCTTTAACAGTTCCATAGAGAATGTTTAAATGTATAACTCAGCTGAATGCTGGTCTACGAAGGTATTTTTACTGTGGATATCACATTCTGAACTGTGGACTCTGTGGGATGTTCAAAGTGCACAGAATACAGCTCTGCAGTTTCTAAACAGAATGTAGTTGTATCTGCCGAAAATAACTCCTCTCAATTGTCAATTTAGTTATATGCACTAGTTTCAAAACCCACTTCAAGGATACAAATTGAAGTTCACCTCGTGAATCTTTCCCATGTGTTGAATCCAGGTGAATTGATTATTGGATGCGATTCAACAGAAGCACCATGTGCAGAGTACCGCGTCCCCCCTCTGTTACCTGCCGGGCTATGGAACTGGCAGTTAATGTTACATACGTAAACTTTAAATTCCAGTTGGCAGCCCATTTATATAATGTGTATTTTTTTGAATTACTTCATCTGCAAAATATTCTTTGGGTCTTTCGGTAAAGTCACGTAGATAGGTTCCAATTAATACAAATTACATGAACAAAAAACCACGACGTTTCGATCGCAACACAAGCAGTCGCCTGATGACGACCGCTTGTGTTGCGATGAAAACGTTGTATTTTGTTTATTACATTTTGTTAATTTGAACCTATCTACGTGGCTTTACCGAAAGACCCAAAGAATAATAATTCCTGCAGTCATGAAAGCTTTAAGTCAAGATGTCATCTGCAAACAAAGAAAAGTTATCTGAAGAAAAATGAAACTCTGTCATAAATTTAAGATGAGACAATTAAGATCGAAGTTTTTCTGAAAGTTAGATAGTTAAAACGTGCAATAAAAATATATATTGCTGCTGTATATTTCACACTATCCATTGCTCTGATAAAACACCAGTCCTTGAGCCAGCCAGCCACCTCGTCAACAATTCAACTATTTTTACAATTGCAATGGTTTCCTGCCTTGTAAATTTGGGAAATATTATCTGATTTTGCCAGAGATTCATTTTATGTAATGAAACTTGACAGACATGGTAATGATCGCAAATGCAAAGCAAATGCAGTTTGAAAATTATATGTTAATGTAAATGTCTGGCTCATTGCACAGACAAAAAATTGTGCAATCCTAAATAACATAAATAAGAATAAAAACAAGAAAGCAACTACAGAACAAAGAATAATGATTAAATGGAACTATCAACCATGATAATTTGGTGTGCATTGTCACATACCCAGTGTATATAACCAGACGGTTGTTTTGGGGGACTTGGCCATGCTACTACCTACCAAGAATGTCATTGCACCCTATGTTGTCCTGCAGGCGAACTCCGACCCACCAAAGCTGTCTCGCGATGAGAACAAAGGACGTGGGGCCTTGCTGTCGGACATCCACAAGGGCGCCCGCTTAAAGAAGGTCGTCACCAACGACCGCAGCACGCCCATAGTGGACAGCAGTACGTGCAGTGCAGCCACACAGGCCAGGGAGCTGTGCGTGTCTGGGAGGCATGTGCAACCACGTGACACTTGTGGGAACAGACACTGCATTTACGTATGGAAGTGTGCTGCGCGAGACATACATCTCTGTAAATAACAGTATCTTGACTTGTTCTATTCTTGCGTGCAGTGAGAATGTGTTCAGGAGCTAAATGTGCATGTCGAGGTCTGCTCGCCACCAGAGGGCTTCAGAAGAGAGTTTGCGCAGTTTGATATTCCTTCATTAAAAGAGTGCAGACGACGGTGGCTTACTATATAGTCCATATCTATGGGACCCTTTTTGCTTGGGATAAAAATAATGAAAAAGAATAAGCTTGACTTTTTCTGCCAATGATACAGGTTTTAAAATGTTCAAACATAGTTTAGGTTGCATGGCCACAATCGCACTGTGCCTTGATCTTAACTTGTTGGTCATCCACAATGTAGCACAATTTATCAAGGTATGAGTTTTTAGCACGTTTTTTTTGTGAGAGGTGGGTATTGTTGTTTGTCCATGCCTGGGCAGACTATGTTTAAGAGGTTACCTTCAAATTGAAGGTTATCTTAAGTCACTGTTGCAACCTATTTAATATCAACCCCCTCGGCAAGTCCATCTGTTGAACTATAGAAAAGGCGAACATTTCTTCTCTTGTCGCAACTCCAGTGGTCTGGAATTCTGTCCCTCCTCCCTTGCTTGTGCACATTTGGTGTCGGTGTGTCTCCCTTTTGTCAGAATCTCGAGACTTCTGTCTTAAATGTATTCTCTCGCGCTGCTTATTGTATCTTTTAAGTCCAATTTGTGCACGTTACAAATTGAATGAGTGAATATTTTTACAAATAGGAAATCTCTCCTGGAAATGGACACCTCGGCCTTTAATACATTTTTGTTTCAAGAATCCAATACACAAGACACAATCATCAAAGAGATAAACACAGGTCACGAGCACGCAGCAAACCCGGAGCAGTACGCCCTCAAATAAGGGAGTGATTGGAGGCACTTGGGTTTTCTGCCCTTCCACCGTTGGGGCAACAATCGGGAGCGGCAGATTTGCAGGAAAAGAAAGAAGAGGGAAGAAGGGGAGGGTGGGGGGGATAATGTAGGAGAAACCTCAGCATTCTTAAAGTCCATTCATCATTGCCCGTATGACCGATACGCAGGGAACACTAATGTAATTGTCTTTGAGCTTTTTTGGCATCTCATTTAATCACTGAAGCCCTTGTTCTGTTTCAGCCATGTTACCATTGTACAGTGAAAAAACACAATTAAGCATTTTCATCTGGACTATTTTCTACAGTGGGTTTTATATTTATGTTCTTTACACCCAATGATGGACATTTATCATTGCCCGAGGCTCTAAAAAGCAATACAAATTTCAACAACAACAAGTTAAAACATTTTTTCCATACCTTTTGGCATTCAAAGCAGTAACTGGATATTAAGTCAACATTTATTGTTCATTTCATCTGATGTATATAATCATTTAATGACCTTTGTCAATCCACTGCTGAATGAAGGCTTCCCCATGATGTGCGGGTCATTGACATTGTTTTACTATAAGTCACACTAGGCAGTTGAGGTTGGTGAAGGTGAGTGCCCAGAATCGGTAAAAATTTCACTCGCCTCTAATTCTAGACATTGCCAGGAATCACACTCAAGTGGTCGGGTTGATGATGCAGTGCATTCACCACTCTGCCACCGCTCCTGCAATATATACTATATAATACCCAATGTGTTAACAGCCAAACTGTTTAAAATGCTGCACGTTTCAACCCACAACTGCACCACTTCAGCTGATTTTTTCGAGCTCAAAACGGAACTTGGTGCTTTTCTGATAAGGCAGCAAAATGGAAAACTCTGGCTTGTGTGTTAGAGATAACTGCTTTCTCCCTGCCCTGTGCTGTAACATGGGACAGTTATTACAATTTTGTGAAGACTCCAGCTAGTTTTACATCCAATGTAAAATATTATCTGCCTCGAATTACATAACACAACATATGTGCATGAGCAAGGTATTATTTAAGTAGCATTTCCAAATTATAATAAAGTCCTTTGTTTATCCAGGAAATCCTGAATTTCAAGATACGTTTTTATCAGGGTCATGCACTGGACTGTTTGTCCAATCCCGTGGTATGTGGGAGCATACAGAGAATACCTCAAGAAAAAACACATCCAAAGGACTAACACTGTAGGTTTATTCCACTTGCTGTATTGCCATCTACTGACCAATTCGAAGCCCAACAAGTTTTAAAGTTTCCCAAATGTGTGTGTGGTCCACCAACCCTGGATCAAAGGTATTCACAATCATGCCCTTCTGACAACATTGAATTATCTCATGATGTTAAACGTGAACGTTCTTCTCTATGTCCCAGTAATCCACTTCTCACAGTTAAAGGGAGCATAGAGGCAGTTAATTCTTTCCATGTGTCACATTGTGATAACCGAGACTCAGTGTGGGAAGACACCCATGTATTATAAAAGATATGCTCTTTTCTATTTATCTACATCCTTCACCTGACCAGGCCACCAAAATCAATGTTGATTACTTAAAAATATCCGTTGATTCAGCACATGTGCTAACTTGAGCACTGTAAAACCAATTGTGATGCGTCAATGCAACGAGAATGTGCTTCATTTCTGATGTTGCATGACGTCAATCTACTTGGCTAAAGTATTTGATGTCGCCCTTTATTGTTGCATGCCAGAGCCAAAAAGTGGGGGTGGTGGTGGAGGAGGTGGCGGCGGTGGCGGAGGAGGAATGGGAGGGGGAGGAGGCATGGGAGGGGGAGGAGGCCCTCCAGGGCTGGGTGGACTCTTTGCGGGAGGGATGCCTCAACTCAAGTCTGCCGGTGGTCGCGGTGCAGCAGGTGAGTCGGACCAAACTCCGCACAGTCCAAGCAAAACGTTTGAAATACACGGTACCTGTTTTGTTATTTTTAAAAACACTTAAAATTATTCTGAGAATTCGATGTTTAATGTTACGACTTGAAAATACGATTTTGTTTATTCCTGGCCATGTTTGTTTGGCAATCGTTAAGGATATTGTAGTTTTGATGACCTGCCCTTTTAAACGATTTTGTACCCTTAAACGAGAGCTTGCTAGGTGTAATAGAAGTAATAAATTATCTCATGTCATGTTTTGTTAAGTGTCGCAGTTTTTTGGGGGAGGATATACTTTATAAAATTTCCACCATCAGGTCTGACGAGATGTTTTAAGGACGACAGTTATACATGGCTCTAAGCAATGTCTATAACATGAGTTTCATATCAAGCGAGGCATGTTTTGTTTGATACATTTATACATGCGTTTGTTTTAAACATTGTACCCAACATACAGAGCCTTGCACAGTGAGCATTAGACTACCTGTATACTGAAGGGATTGCAGTGACTCATGTTGTGTTGCCACACCCATGCGATTGCCAACATTCACTCGGCTTACATAGAAGGTACAAAATAAACCTTGTCAAACGAGAAAATCCATTTTAAAAGTCACCTATTACCCTTAAAAAGCTTTCATAATGTTTAATTTAAACTAACTGCGTATTTGTTTTATTTGATCAATAATTTTTTACAAATCCCCTGAGTAGGTGACATTCAGAAAATAAATGCACATAATCTTTATTCTAAACACATATATCTTATTTCATTAATTACTTGGCATGCATCTTTAAGTACTCGTCTTAATAGATGTGATAAAAGACTGGAAATTAAAAGTTAACCTGGTCATTTGCATGCTCTTTTGACGCAGACTCTGGTGCCGGCCGTGCCCCTGTGATGCCCCCTGGTATGAGGACTCGCCCCAGCGACCAGCCAGACACTTCTGGCCTCTCTTCAGAAACCTCGAAACCTGCTGGCATGCGGTTGCCAATGCCACCCATGGCCAATCCGCCTCGTGGCAACCCACCTAGCAGCCCATCGCCACGGCCGGGGATGGGGCCGCCGCGTCTCCCGCTCGGCAAACCGGGAGGAGGCGGCGGAGGATTTCCCCCTCCGCCACCTCCCGTCATGTCCCAGCCTCCTCCCCCACCTCCACCTCACTCCAACAGGCAGAACCCCCCGCCCCCACCACCACCTGTCAGTGGCCGACCGCTGCCTAACCCACCGGATGGCCGACCGCCACCCCCACCAGGCCCCAGCCGACACCAAGGTGCAAGGCCGAGTCCAGCATTGCCACCGCCGCCGCCACCCAGCAGAGGAGCGTCGCCATCTGTACCCACCAATGGCGGTGAGCTTTTGCCGTTCTTAGAATTTGTCACCTCTCGTTAAACTGGGAGTGCAGCAGTGAACACTGGAATCCCAGATAATATCCTGACCATGGAGTGTCTTGAAGAAGCAATTTTCTGTAAGTGTTAGTGCCCAATGTAATTATAGTTTGAGAGCTGTCAATGTGTAGACTATACACTTAATGGAAATAGGAACTCGCCTGTATATTTGCACATGTTATTGACCGCAGTTCAAGAACCTCATTTGCTAAAACGGCGTTTCTGTTGTGTTTGAGCACTTTGTCTCCATATTGCCTTATGTCAACATACTCAATATTTTAATAGCACTATGGCCATAGTGTATATTATTTCTTGCAATTCAAGAAAGACTGAAAGAGAAGCACCACTGGTAATTGATGTAAAGACAATAGGGTGGTTTGTGTGTGTCTCGTGTGTCCATTGTATTGCAGCAAAAAAAATGAATAATGTACATCACTTCACAAACACGTGGTACTGCCACTGAGATGCAGTAGAAAGAATCCATGTTGCTCTGTAAACTGTTATTTTTGATGAATGCTCTACTCAGCCATGCTTCTGCCCCTCAGTTGACAACTGCTTACGTGTGTTACAGGACAAAGGGGGGGTCCACCGCCTCCCCATTCGAGGGCACCGCCCCCTCCAGCAAGGGAACAGCCAAGAGACAACTCGAGCAAGTCAGGTGGGATCCCAAGTTGATTATCTTGGTGTCAAACATTAAATAATATACCTCGCTGGCACAAACAGCACGGTTGGTTTTTTAAAGTTGGTTGGGATTGGAGCTTCTTACACTGGGAACAATGGTCTCACACAGCACAATAGTTGGCAGGATACCCAGTTCCCTCTTTGAGGCAGAACTGAAAATAAGCAAATTAGTGACCACTTTTTAACAGAAGCGAAGCACAAGTATCCACAGCATGCAACTTTGAACCCTGGGTCAAGGAAACAATTGTCTTATTCTACTGTGAGCTTTGTGATAACATGTGGTTTGAGGATTGTGGTGTAAGTTTATGTAATACTTTGTGTTAATTCGTATAGTGGCGCCCCTCGCGTAACACGCCCCCCATAGCACGAATTAGCAGTTACGCGATTCAACTTTTAGGGACATACTTCACACGCTATGCATTTTACAGTTATGGCGCTCAAGAAAGAAACAAATGTAAAATAAAAAATTTGCAAATTAAATTATTATTTTCGTTGATAAAAATTCTAAGTAAACTAAATATTCCTGATGGCGTCACCGTGTCATGGCAGCGCCTGGTGTCACGGGCTGGACGTAGCCATCGTAGGTCTGCTGCCTCTCTTTGCATCGTGCGTGCTGCTGCTACAAGCAACCCCCAGAGAAGCATTTAAGAAGCCCTGAAGTTACTATACTGGTAGGAACCACCTGGTTCCACCAGACCACAGGAATATTGTGTCCATCGTGCATCCAAAAATGGGAGGGGTCAGGCTGGGTGGAGAGGGGAGGGTGGAGAGGGACTGGGTGGGGCTGGGTGGGGAGGGGCTGGTCAACCCGTGGTGCCCTTATAAAACTCAACGTTTATAACCTACTCACGCCGGCTTGTGCCCACCCTCACAGTCGGCCATATTTGCGGAATACACCACGCCGCCGTTGACCCTGGCCATTGACCGAGCAACCCAACGTTCCTACCAGCTCCCTCCGCAGGAATGTGTTTAAGTATTCTTAGGTTTTTTCGGTAAAATCACGTAGGTAAAACATTAAAATTAATAAAAGTAAAATAAAATAAAAAATCACGACGTTTCGGAGGCAACGCAAGCTTCCGTCTTCAGGTGGAACCGTCACAGCCACGACAGCTGTATCAAGTAAATGAGTGATTGCAGGAGCTACCACTCCGTTTATATAATGGTTGGAGAGGGGGGAAGGGCCAAGTACAGCACACTTTTTATTCATATGGTAAGGTGAGGCTTAAGAGGGTGAGCCTTTGTTATGGAGAGGTACGGTTTGTGACTCAACCTGTGACGAGGAGAAAACAACTGAACCTGGTAAACCTGTAGTAGTTGTCTCAAATAAGATTGGCCAAATAAGTGTAAAATATTTTTTGCATGGTTGATCACATCTTTCCAATGATTACTCAGTTTGTAACCATCATCACAGTTGAAATTATATCTGTGTTTGTATATTTGTATGGCTTCGTGTACAAACCTTTGATGGTAGCCAGGAGGTTTGCAGAGAACCTTGGTCTCGGAAAAAACAATTTCATGAGAGCCCACCGAGTTGTAGCAATGATTGGCAACGGCCGAAGAATCAGTTCTGCCGTGTTTCAGATCTAACTTGTGCTCGCAGACACGATCAGAAACATGACGTTTCGTTTCTCCAATGTAGCAATCACCACAAATGCAACTCAATTTGTAGACTCCAGGATACTGTAAGTCAGGAACGACATCCTTCACAGATGGAATCAGATCACGGATGTTATGCACTGTACTGAATCGGACTTGGATCTTATGTTTGTTTAGAATTTTGGAGATCTTTTTGGTCACGCCTGCTATGTATGGTAATGTGATAGTTTTGGTCGGAGTTTCATGTGGCTGTTTCTGTGTGGTGGGAGAAACAGCTTGGCGGATAGTGCGGTCAGAGTATCCGTTCATCCTGAGGGCCCGATGTACATGTCTTAATTCACCGGCCAGGCGGTGTTGGTCAGAAATGCCATGGGCTCTGTGGTATAGTGTATTGATGAATTCTTTTGAGATGGGTGGTGGTGGGAATCCGGTTTCAAGTAGGAATCTGTGTGGGTGGCTTTCCTGTAGACAGAATGTCCCAAGGATCCGTCAGGCCTCCTCTCAAACAGAATATCCAAGAATGGTAGTTTACCGTCTTTCTCCACTTCCATGGTGAATCTGATGGATGGGTGTCTAGAATTGATGTGGTCCAAGAAGTGGTTCAATGCTGGGAGGCCATGTGGCCAGATGACGAAAGTGTCATCCACATACCTCTTCCACAGGGAAGGACGCAGGGTGGATGTCTGGATGGCGTCTGATTCAAACTTTTCCATGAACATGTTGGCTATAACTGGTGACAAGGGGGAGCCCATAGGGGTACCCTCATTCTGTTTGTAGAAGGTCCCATTCCAGGTAAAATAGGTGTTGGTGAGGCAATGCCTAACCAGCGCAGGTACATCAGAATTCAATCCATGTTGGACTAAGTCCTCAATTATTGTTAGGGTGTCCGGTACTGGGACTTTGGTAAACAAAGATACTACATCAAAGCTGACGAGGATGTCATCAGGAGATAGTACCATGTCCTTAACCATAGAGACTAATTGGGTTGAGTTGAGTACTGCTGAAGAGGTCTTGCCTGTGAAGGGGAGCAGAGTATCTGATAGAAAACGGGCTAGTTTGTACGTAGGAGAGTTTATCGTCGACACGATGGGTCGTAGCGGGGTGCCTTCCTTATGGATTTTGGGAAGACCATAGAGTCTGGGAGGTCTAGCCGCCGATGGTTTTAGAGAGGGACGTTTGCTTGGTTCGATTAGGGAAGTCGAACTCGTGATGATACTGTTGGTTTTTGTCGTTAGGCTTTTAGTGGGATCGTTTTTAATTTTGGAGTAACTCCCAGTACCAGTTCATTCAAGTATTGCCACATCTTTCTGACACCAATCTCTTATGTCGCCGTCAAGCCATACTCTGTTAGGTCTTCTTCCTCTCTCTTTACGGTTTCAGCATCAGTCACCACAGCCCCTGTAAAATGTGCGTGTTGGTGTGTCAGGTGCCTTGCCCCCTCCGCCCCCTCCACTGAGGTCCGACCCCCGTGGGCCGCCTCCTCCCTTGCCGCCCTCCCGGATTGGACCGCCGCCGCCCCCCCCTCCACCTGCTCACATCAGCCATTCGTCAGGGCCTCCTCCCCCTCCACCACCAGCACACAGGAATGAGAGTGTGAACAAGAGAGGTAGGGAAACAAGCATCTTTGATGAGCAGCTGATGTATGTTCCCACGATGTCATTTTTCACAAAGCGATACAAATATAATTTCGTGATAACTGATATATTGATAATCATGACTCCTATACCTTAATTGTATTTCACATTTTGATAATCTTTTTTAGTGTTTTCATTTACTTTAAATAATGATTAAGGATTGTTTAAAAGTAATTCAACTGCATTTCACTTTAAGCCTGTAACGTTACAATCTGTAATGCTTTCATGCACATGGTATCAGAAAATTATGTTATAAAATTACCATACCGTCAATGTTTGCCGGAAACGATTTACAAAGCTATAATTTAATGGATGCTACTTATTTTAGAACGTTAATAAAATTTGTATTATTGTGATTTCATAAATATTTTGTTAGAAACTCAAATATTAAGACCGCTTTAGCCATGATAATCTTGATATGCCGATTTTTTTTTTTAAACAGGATACAATTATTGTGGGTCTTGTATCAGTGTCTCAATATATTGGCGTAATCTTACCTAACATCAATAGGTGGTTGGGTGATTCACTCAACGAATACATCCTCAGTTGGTATTGGGAAACCACACATTGAGTTAGGCTGGTGAACAGTGGATTCAACACGAACAAGTGTCATCCTGAATACATCCGCATCTGTTGGATCTCGGAAGCTATACAGGGTTGACGGCTGGTTACCGCTTGACAACCTCGTTGGGTACTTTTAGGTTTTTTTGGTAAAGTCATGTAGGTAAAAAAATAATAAAGTAAAATAATAAGAGATGAAAATAGCTCAATTAAATCACGACGTTTCGGAGGCAACACAAGTCTCCGTCTTCAGGTGGGACCGTCGCAGCTAAATTTACTGTATTAAGTGAAGAGAAATCCAAGATCTTAAATACTCCCCTTAACCAGTATTTAAGATCTTGTTTCTTGGATTTCTCTTCACTTGATACGGTAAATTTAGCTGTGACGGTCCCACCTGAAGACGGAGACTTGTGTTGCCTCCGAAACGTCGTGATTTAATTGAGTCATTTTCATTTATTATTATTTTATTATTCTTTTTTGACCTATACTGTAACTTTACCGAAAAAACCTAAGAGTATGAATCCTTGCAGTCACGAAAGCTTTAAATCTAGAACCTCGTTGGGCTGCAGAGTGCGGCTAGAAGATGGATAGTGCCTCGTGTCATCCCCTTGGATGTGTGGATTTTCTCGGGGTATTCAGGATTCCTTTGGCACGATCCTGCTTAATCATGAATAGCCCAAATATTCCAATGTCCATACTCCCCCCTCCTGGTGAAGAACATGTCGCACTTTTGTATACTGCTCCTTTAAGATATGATTGTATTGTTAGATAAATCGACATTGTATCTACTTTCAATTTCTGTTTTGTTGAGTCATTGAGAAGTTCTCAGGGAAATAATTGGGTTGATTAGTGTTAATGTGTTCACGCAAAATAACAATGAGTTCAAAGTAACATATTAATGCATTATTGACACGTAAGAAAATTAGCCTACTGGGAATTTCCAAACATCCCAGTAAGGCGAGGTACATTCGTGACTAATCATTTGCATATGTAACTACCTTTGGAAGTAGCTCGTTGGCATGAAATACCTGAAAAATAATCCTACTTGCTTGAACATAGTTTTCTAGAATGGTAACAATGACACTATAATAGAACATCGTCATTGTCATGATCATCGTATCATTGGCTACATTACTATTTTCAACATTTACCAGATGAGGGGATCTAACTTGCCGTGAATTTGTCCTGGTGGTTATATTTTCCTAATAGATGTTCACAAAGCTTTGACATCAATGCACACAGGTATATAATTTTAAGAATTGAAACGTCTGCAGGACAATGCATGTCCGTGTACTTGTGTGTGCGTGAATATGCTTGTGGCAAAACATGGACGTTCTTAATGTGCATTTTCCCTGTCTTTGTTGTAGATGACTTTGAGTTGAGGTTTTCTTTCCGTCCTCTCAATGAACTTCCACCTCCAGAGCCTTACCATAACTTTCCGAAGAATTACCCCAGCAAAGCGGTCAAAGGTAGCATGTACACACACATTTCCCATTCAGACACATTCACATAATTTTATTTTTTAACATAGCGTTGTCAACACAGCTGTGTCGACACATGCATGGGCTTTGTTGAGCACAATCAAAATCTGACCTGACCACTTAAATCCTGGTATTTGTCAGTTTGTTACAGTTATGGTAAGCCATTGGAGAGCTAATGCCATGACCTATGTCAGTCGCTATTACTGTATGATGAAATAGAGTGGATGTTCTTATCACAATAAAATAGTGACTACAGGAATATGAAAACATGCATTATAATGCATGTTTGTTGCTCAGCGTGGTTGACGTTTGTGTTTATTCTCTTTACAGGTGATCGATAAGTGTTGTCTCCTCCACCGACCCCAAAGATTATTTGTTTTCAATGCCTTTTGTATCCTGACCTGCCTGGAATCTGGGAAATATGGTGTATTTTTAAGGGCTTTTTTTGGTATTTTCTTGATTGTGTTGTTTGGTTTCCATGCAACACTTTGTAATTTCAGACTGTTTTATTAAAATACAGAATGCCTCAGTGCCTTTTGTTTTATTTTACCATGGAAATTAATGCTTGATGTAAATGTAAAAAAGTACCTCGACTGCCTTGTTTTCTTGAATAGCCATGGACAGAAATATAGCAATTGTTTAATACACTTCTGACAGTTGTGCTAATTGACTGTTTCCTTTACGCTATTGTATTAACAAAGTTGTGCGTGTTAATATTAATGGTGAAGCAATACTAACGTTCACTTCTAAAATGCTGTACTTTTGTGCCTACCGCTTTGTGCGTTATGCCGAGTAAGGCAAAATGCACATAATGATGCGACTATAAAACATTATCCTGTTACTGCGTTCCTTCAAGGGTACAGGAAAACGTGAAATGTGGCTGACAATTTTTCAGTGAATATTTTATCGTTCCATCTTGTGTTTTTTTTTCCTGAGAAAATGAAGCTTGAAAACTCTTACCTACAATTTTAATGTGGCCAGCTGATATGTTCTTTTATATGTGTGAGAGTTTACAGATTCTTAGAGTCTGTAATCTGGTATATATGTCAAATTCAGTCAATGTAAAATCATGAATGGTTTTCGAGGCATGCCTAGGGGGAGGTGCTGTGCTCGACACAGCGAAGTCTGCAAAACTCCCAAAAAAATGTACGCCTTGATTTAAATTTCTAGACTTGCTACCATAAAGCCTCAAGTATACACAGGGCAAATAACTAGTACAATGCTAAATCAGAATATTTGTTTATACTGGAGGAATCTGATGAGCTGTGAAGCTCTTTTGTACACATGTCACGGTGACATGCTACCAATAGAAAAGAGGACTGCTTAATTATATGCACGATTGACTGCAATGTGAGTGGCGCATGCAGCGCATTCATGAATATGCGTCTCCTACCCACTGCTGTGTTGTATTGTGGAGCACCGAGCATTCGGGGAAAGATGATTTTAGTGTTGAGGATGGGTAGGACACACAGTACTGTTGGCTATGATGGAATACTCATTGGCCCGTCCACCTAGAGGAGTTGGAAATTGTGGTTCCTAGTAGCCTATGTGAATGGAAATATACCATCACGTTCATTGCACACATATCATGTATAATTTTATATTTTAATTTTATGATCGTTTCAATAGCAAACATGCCTTCATATCTTTCTAGCTTACCTTCCCAACAAGAGCTGTGTGAAATGGAGGGTGAAAAAACAACTGTTAAACATTTTCTATCTATTTTATCAACATTAGCATCTCGACTTTGCAACTGTGGGCTTATTAACGTGTACTGTATATTGAATGTTGGGGTGGCATGTATTTGTGCTTGTAAAATAAAATCAAATTTGAACACTGAAAATGTCTCATGTAGTTGCTTGAGTATTTATTTTTTATTTAACGCACTGTTGTATTCTCAAATATTGTAACTCAATTTTAACTCACTTCCCAATGTGGTATCGACTGCAAACTTGGTATACTTATGTCATGCTGAGGACAATACTATGTTCTATTATAAAAAAATAATAAACGATCTTTTTACACGCTTTCTATTAACTCACTGTTGTATCCTCAAATCTTGTAACTCAATTTTAAACCACTTCCCAATGTGGTATTGACTGCAAACTTGGTATACTTATGTCATACGGATGACAATACTATATTCTATAAAAAAAATTAAAATTCTTTTCATATGTTATGTTTCGGCTTGGGTCTAATTTTTCACGCTCGAATGACGTTGGCTGTAAATCACCACGGCCCCTTACGATATGGCAAGCTTCGGGGGCACTTCCTGGAGTCTTGGAGTTCTCCCATTAACTAGTATGGTACATTTCATTAAAGCGTGTTTAAAAACAAGTTTTTTTTCATAGTATTTATTCACCTTGACGCCAGCTCGTCGAGTTGAGGCGTCTGCAACCTGCGGCTCTTTTTAAGGACCGAGCACACTGCGGCTCTTCAAATATTGAGGGTTTATTTTGTAGTATTTAACACATTCCTGCGGAGGGAGCTGGTAGGAACCTTGGGTTGCTCGGTCAATGTCCAGGGTCAACGGCAGCGTGGTGTATTCCGCAAATATGCCCGACTGTGAGGGCGGGGGACACAAGCCGGCGTGAGTAGGTTAAACGTTGAGTTTGATAAGGGCACCACGGGGTGACCAGCCCCTCCCCACCCAGCCCCACCCTCCCCATCCAGCCCCTCCCCACCCAGCCCCACCCTGTCAACCCAGCCCCTCCCCACCCAGCCCCTCCCACCCTCCCCTCTCCACCCAGCCCCACCCCTCCGATTTTTGGATGCGCGACAGACGGACGGACACAATAATCCCCTGTGGGCTGGTGGAACCAGGTGGTTCCTACCAGTATTACCGAATTCTAAATTAATGTCTCTTTCTTGATTTGAAGCTTGGCTCTTTCTTGCTGTTTTGGTTGCCGTACCCCATTGGTCGAGTTGAACGCGGTAGTGAGAGGGTAGGAGGGGGGGGTAGGGTAGGGGGGGTAGGAGGAGGGGTGTAGGGGGGGTAAGAGGAGGGGGGTAGGGTAGGGGGGTAGGAGGAGGGGGGTAGGGGGGGTAGGAGGAGGGGGGTAAGAGGAGGGGGGTAGGGTAGGGGGGTAGGAGGAGGGGGGTAGGGGGGGGTAGGAGGAGGGGGGTAGGGTAGGAGGAGGGTAGGAGAGGTAGGAGGGGAGGTAGAAGGGGGTGGGATAGGAGAGGGGGTAGGGGGGTAGGAGAAGGGGGGTAGGGTAGGAGGGGGGTAGGAGAAGGGGGGTAGGGAGGGTAGTCGGTGTGGGGATAGCAGGAGGGGGGGGGTAGGGGAGGGGGGTAGGAGGGATAGGAGAGGGTGGTAGGAGGGGGGATAGCAGGGGGTAAGGGGGGGGTAGTAGGTGGGGGGGGGTAAAAGGGGGTTGGACAGGAGAGGGGGGAGTAGGAGGGTTAAGAGAGGGGGGTAGGAGGGGGGTAAGAGGAATCGCTCCATTCACAATCGCGTTTGCAGCGGCGGGGGCGACATCGCAGGGGCCGCCGTAGTTGTTGTGTTGGGTGACGTCACGCGTGGGGGTGGGGGGGTCACCAAAGCCTTGGCCTACATCGGCGCTGACTCGGGGCCTGACGCGTCGCCGCTCTTCGCCTCTCCTCCCCCCCGATTCCCGTCCGCCTTTGTCTCTCCCCTGCAACACGGGCGGGAGAGATGGCGGACCCGGCCGAGATCCGTCGCCTGGAGCAGCTGTCCCTGGTGTCCAAGGTCTGCACGGAGCTGGACAATCACCTGGGAATTAACGACAAGGACCTGGGTAACGTGCGCGGCCTGGGAGGCCCAACACCAACTCCTGTACACCAACTACTCTATACTAACACCTCTACACCAACTCTCCTACACCAACTACTCTATACTAACACCTCTACACCAACACCTCTACACCAACTACTCTATATAACACCTCTACACCAACTATCCTACACCAACTACTCTACACTAACACCTCTACACCAACTCTCCTACACCAACTACTCTATACTAACACCTCTACACCAACACCTCTACACCAACTACTCTATACTAACACCTCTACACCAACTATTCTACACTAACACCTCTACACCAACTACTCTACACTAACCACTCTACACCAACCACTCTACACCAACTACTCTATACTAACTACTCTACACCAACTACTCTACACCAACTACTCTACACTAACACCTCTACACCAACTACTCTACACCAACTATCCTACACTAACACCTCTACACCAACTACTCTACACTAACACCTCTACACTAACCACTCTACACCAACCACTCTACACCAACTACTCTATACTAACTACTCTACACCAACTACCCCGCACCGACTACCCCGCACTAACACTTCTACACCGACCGCTCTACACCAACCACTCTACACTAACACATCTACACCAACACATCTACACCAACACCTCTACACCAACACCTCTACACTAACCACTCTACACCAACCACTCTACACCAACTGCTCTATACTAACTACTCTACACCAACTACTCTACACCAACCACTCTACACCAACCACTCTACACCAACCACTCTACACCAACTACTCTATACTAACTACTCTACACCAACCACGCTACACTAACACATCTACACTAACACATCTACACCAACACCTCTACACAAACTACTCTACACCAACTACTATACACTAACACCTCTACACCGACTACTCTACACCGACCACCCTATACTAATGCCTCTACATTGGCCCTTCTACACCAACTCCAGAATCAGAATGTGTATTTATACTGAAGGCGGAATACGATGAGCTATGAAGCGCTTTTTCACAGACGTCCAGTAGGGTGCATAATGCATGGGCATAATATGACTTTGACACCCCCCCGCCCAACGCCTACGCATTTTCCATGAATATGCTAAATTCCTCTTCACATGCACATTCTTTTTGTTAAGGCGCTCTTCAACCCCCAATGCAGCTTATATATAAGCTCCTAGTTTGGTAGTGTCTCATTCTTCACCTGAAGACGGCTGCTTGCGTTGTAGCCGAAACGTCGTGAGAATTGTTTTATTGTGTTTTATTTTTATTATTTTATTACTTCCCTTCTACGTGACTTTACCGAAAGAAACAAGAAGATGAATCCCTGCAGTCACGAAAGCTTTAAATCGAAAAATAAAAGTAAACTTAATTTTTTATCTTACCAGGTAAAGCCCACTGAGCTATTAGTAAGTCCACCGACTCCCCTATAGAGTACCTACTCTACTAAACTAAACTTATTTTTATTTAACCAGGCAAGGCCCACTGAGAGTTAGAGATATGTTTCCAGAAGCGACCTGGCTATCACAAATGATAGCCTAATGAAGTGGCTTATCAAGTGCAAATGTATTTCAGCTAAATGCTCTAAAGTTGCTGTAACGACACCAACTTATCTCCTATAACTCCTCTACATTCACAACGTTATACTGGTAGGAACCTCCTGGTTACACCAGCCCACAGGGGATTATTGTGTCCGTCGTGCAGGGAGGGGCTGAGTGGGGAGGGGGGGCTGGGTGGATAGGGAGGGGCTGGGTGGGGAGGGTAGGGAGGGGCTGGGTGGGGAGTGGGAGGGGTGGGGCTGGGTGGGGAGGGGCTGGTTGGGGAGGGGTGGGGCTGGTTGGGGAGGGGTGGGGCTGGGTGGGGAGGGGCTGGGTGGGGAGGGTGGGGAGGGGCTGGGTTGGGAGGGGCTGGTCACCCCGTGGTGCCCTTATAAAATTCAACGTTTAACCTACTCACGCCGGCTTGTGTCCGCCCTCACAGTCGGGCATATTTGCGGAATACACCACGCCGCCGTTGACCCTGGCCATTGACCGAGCAACCCAACGTTCCTACCAGCTCCCTCCGCAGGAATGTGTTACTCTATGCTAACCACGGGGGTGACGTTTAGGCTGTACATTGTTTGATGCTGCTGACATGGTCATCTCCGCGTCGAGAAGCAGTGCTTTGAGAGTGCTGGATCCCTTGGAAGGTGTAAATGAGTCGAATGTGACAACGATGTTTTTACCACGTATGTTTTTGTGTGTGTATATATATGTCTTTTGTGTATTTTGTGTGTGTGATAATGTAACGCGACACGCACAACGGCACGTCCATATGTTGCTGCGTGCATTTAACCATCAGTCATACGGACGCCTAGATGGCGAATCATTAACGTTCGAGCGACTGTTGGTGGCGAGCGTGCTGCTGGCGATTCGGAGTCGTTTTACTTACATACAACTCTCTGTGTCTGTTCGCAGCTGAATTTGTCATCAGTTTGTCAGAGAAGAACAACACTTTTGAAAAGTTCAAAAAAGTCCTGGAGCAAAATGGAGCGGAGTTTTCGGTGAGTACTCCAAGAACCGAGGTTGAATCTCTTTTTGCAGTATGGTGCGGTAAAGTCACGTAGATAGAAAAATAATATATCACGACGTTTCAATCGCAACACAGGCAATCGTCTTCAGGTGAGAGAGAGAAAGCTACTGAAACAAGGTCTTATATAGAGTCCCCTCAGGGTAAGAGGGTGGGCTAGAGATGGTCTCCCTGAGGCTGTGGCAGTGGCCTATGTATTGTGAGAGATTAGCATGTCAATGATGCATCGGTGGCAGAGCGAGCAGGACATCCAGCCTGTCAATACAAAGACATCCAACCTAGTAATGCAACTCAGAGAGTCAGCTAACATCGGCAGGAAGGATGGAAACATCACAGCAGGTTAAGACGATACCTGGTTAATCACGGCCTTCCAATGATTGCCCAATTTGTACCCATCTTCTCGGTTGAAGTTGTGTCTGTGTTTATATATCTGGATGGCTTCATGGACAAATCTTTGATGATAGCCAGTGGGTTTGCATAGTACCTTCGTCTTG